TCACGTTTCATACCTGGTTGTATACCTGATATGACCAGACTTTCAAATAAGTGACACAAACTATGAAAAGAATTTAGTTAAAGAATCCTGAAAATACGCTTAATGTTCATATTTTTCTTAATACTGTTTTTTAATTTGGGTAATGCTGTAACCTTTCATATCCACTCCTTCTTATAGAACCAGATTTAGATGGTATGGATATCTTGGATACTATCCTGAATGGAAACCCATCTCCACGCACTGAATTCATCTACAATATTGATGAGTGTCAAACCAGTCCTGGTGCAGCAATTAGGTACGTCACAACAGTATTCACATTATTTTCTGATCTTCAAATTTAAAACCAATTTTAATGATTTCAGTTATTCATTGGCTTAGGGGGTGCTTTCGTCATTTTTATATATTAACAAGGGCATTATGATTGGGTAAACAGAAAATGTATCTGGTAATAAGTGTGGCTGCCGATATAAGGCGATTATAACATCAATTTGCATGTTTCTCTATGGCAACTGATCTGACAAAGATTAAAATGTGTTCTGACCGCAGAATTGAAGACTGGAAACTAATAACTGGTAATCCAGATATGACGTATCCAGCATTCAATAGCAACGATACAGGTAAGTGTCTCCTTGTAATTTTTACTTTGGCATGGCATATTGCCATATATAATATAAAGGCGTCTGCATTGTGCTCCATTTCAGGGAAAAACAAATTATCATTCAATCAACTATGTATGTAGAAATATAAATGAGCATTTATCGTGCCTGTGTGAAAGATGTTCAAAAATGAAAATATCCAGTACATTAGTTTAAAGTTTGCCTTCAAATCATTTATTCTGAACAGTTTTGTATAATTGCATTCCACTTTTGTGCAACAAAATTGTTAGTTGGATTTACATTGCAAATAAACGTCGTTTGTTACTAGGTGATTGGCTCCAACCCGGGAGAAGCAAAATTAATTTGGGAGATGGAAGCACTCCACCACTGAATATTACATATCTGTTCAACTTGAAAGGTAATGACATTATAGGAACGTAATTATATGTTCCATTTCCATGTAAATTATTACTTTAGCTACACAGATATCAAATAACTATTCACCATATTGCATCTTTAATTATTTATAACATGCATCTACTCATCAGGTGAAATAAAGGAAGATATTCTACTCACTTGAAGTATTCCTACTTGTGTGTTATTTAGGCTTTAAGACATATCAGGGACCAACAATTGTCCATGAAATATTCACAAGTTCTATACTATCAGATTGTAGAACTTTCAAAAAATGAATTGATAGTTAATGTGAATAGATAATTCAATATTTGTTTCCAACCTCCAGACGATCCAACTGAACATCACAACTTGGCGGACATCTTTCCAGAAAAAGTGTTGGAGCTACAAAATCGTCTTGATGAATACCGACAAGAAGTAGTTGCACCAATTGACATGACAATGATTCCAGATGGTCACCCTGACAACCATGGTGGCGTGTTTACACCGGGATGGTGTTGAAATGACAAATTACACACACCAAACAATCAAAAAACAAATGACGATATGTATTGTTGTCAATTTGTTGTAATATTTGTATGCCATTGTTGTCATATTTGTATACCATTGTTGTATACAAAACAATAAATTTAAATATTCATCATATATTAAACTATCATTATTTGTTTGCATATTCGCAAATACTCGTTATTAATATTCACAATAGGAAATATTAGAAGGTTTTACAAGAAAAGCCTCATGATATAAGTTGGCACAAAAATGTACGTTAATACCAAAATGTACGTCACTATCCCGGGAAAGCGTACCCAAG